TATATATATATGACCAAATTACAAAATATGCTATTCGAGATCTATCGTCACGATATATATATATATCGTGACGATAAATCTCGAATAGCATATTTCTTAATTTGGTCATTTAATTAAATAAGAATTAAAGTAATAGGAAACCAAATCATAAATTATCATTTCATTACAATCTTTACGGCGATAATTATTTCTTCAATACATAAAATCAAAAATATTTTATCTACGTTAATACTATATTATTTGACTTTTTGACGATCTAGATATAATTTGGATTAAAAACGTGTTGTAAAACGTTAGAACCGCAAAATCGAATAATTAATATAACGATAAGCTCCGTGATACATTAATCGTTTAATAAATAATTGATCCATAATTATATATAATTGATTATATATAATTAATCCATACTTATAAAATTTAATATTCCGCATATATGTATATGTAATAGTACGTAAAATATTTTGACAGCGAATTAGCAATATATAATATGGTATTTGGCCTTGATAGCGTAAACATTGACGCGCTATCGTTTACGTATCACGGCTTTGTTATCATTCATACGGCGACACTTGAATAGAACTATAGTGGAGGGAAACGCTCAAATTCCTTTCCTACATGTTATCATTCACACGGTGATACTCGAGCAGTAAAGTAGCAATGCGAAATGCTTCGTCAAATTCCTTTTTAAACGCGATCGCAACAAATATAGGGAAATAATTTGATAAAATTAATAATTAGTTATCTTTTACACATCTCAAATAATAATTATAATTTAATATTGTAATTAAACGTAATTATATCGCTATGATAGGTCTCTAAACGCATATTTTGCATGATGTATATACATATTTAATCAAGAATCGAAGTGACAGGAATTAAAATTATGAATTTTGTTTTGTTGCGATCCTTATAAGCAATAATTATTTTTTCAAAATTAAATATATTTCACCCGACGTTTTATCGTTTGACATCTGACGGAATATGATCCAGATTATGATCGCGCAATTAAATAATCAAATCGCAAAATTGAGTAATTAACATAACGAAAGATTTTGTGATACATCAATCGTTCAATAAATAAATAATCATAATCTAAAATATATATTTTATATACTTTAATATTCCGCGTATACATATAATATGATAGTACGTAAAATATTTTGGCAATAATTTTTCAATAACATAGTGTACAATTTTAGCGGCCCTATTGTTTATATGTATGATCTTCTTATCATTTGTACGGCGACACTCGAGCAATAATATAATGGTACGAAATTCTTCTTATATTCTTTAATTCTAAACGCGATCGCGACTAGTATCGGAATAGAAACCGCTATTTATTGCAATTAATAATTAATTTACTTTTAATAAACAACACGAAACTGTATTGCGAATATAAGTAATTGCAAATATAAATTTTTATCAAATTCTCAATCACGATTATCCATTATTGCGAGTAAAAATCGAATTAACAGAGATAAAAATTGTAAATTTTGTTACGATTTTTCGATCATTGATCCTTACAGATAATAATTATTTATTTAACAATTCTTGTAATCAAATATATTTCTTTTAATATTTTTTTTTAAAATGCGAGCATAAAATAATTATTAATTAAATGATTGCTGTATCATTTTTGTAATGAGACGCATGATTTTGGCTTTGTGTAAATGTCTAGCAAATCGTACTTTTCGTATTACTCTCTTATGATATAATAAAATATATATCTTATGTAATTGTTTCGCGATCGGGAGTGCCGTGCAAAGTGTTTCGCGATCGTTGCGTATATGATTAACCACAATTAATCGTGTTTTCGCGAGTGAGTGTAAGTGCCACAAGGAGAAGTAGCAGAGGATGAACAAGAGAGAAAAAGAAAAACTGAAGCAGCATCGGGCGACGTACGGAGCAACAATATGCGGTAAGTAATTAAATTTATTATCATTTCTATTATTTTGAAAATAGACATATCGTTCGTTCTTTTTTTTTCCGTTTTCTCGATAATGCAATTCATTCAATATTACGTTCAATAATTCGTGCAATATAACGCATATATCATATAAAATATTCCAAGTTTTATTTTAATTGTAGTGACAAGAATCTCTAAAATAATAAATTATCGTATCGTTGCGATTTTTACGGACAATAATTATTTCTTTAACAATATAGAGTCAAATATATTTTTTTTCCGCGATGCTATCTCATTTGATTTTTCGACGATGTACAGATATAATTTGGATTAAGAACATGGATTATAAAACAATCGAATCATAAAATCGAATAATTAACATAATGATAAGCTTCGTGATACATTAATCGTTTAATAAATAATTGGTCCATAATTTAAAATACTTATATAATTTAATATTTCGTATATATATGTAGTAGTATGTAAAATATTTCGGCAGCAAATTAGCAATATCTAATATGGTATTCAGCCTTGGCATAAATATTGCCGCGCTATCAATTACGTTTTTA